TTCACCCCCACCAAAACGAGAATTGAGGCAAATTCAAACTGAGCTGGTGATTCAACAATAATAATTTATTATTTCCACAGATTTTCTGGTAGGTGATGTTGTAAACTAGTTTCTGTAGTCTATTATTAACTACACTATTATTAACTACAAAAATACTGACACTCGCAAGATTGTAGAAAATGCGATGTTACCTCCAGATTTGACTCCAGGTCAAAAGTAAAAACAACGGGATCAAAAATGCGTGAATTAAATACTACAAAATATTGTCGGGACTAAAACAATATGACGCTGTGGATATCATAGTTGCTCAATATTATCTGCCTTTTTAGAGAAAACATTGAGATTGAGGAATTGGGTCCTATCAAAAACAATGACACGCTATGGCAGGGAAACGACTGGAATGTATCTGTGAGCAACTTCTTGTACATTTGCTATTATGCTTTTTGTGAGGAAAAATCCGATTTAAATGTTATTCAATGTAAGTTACCCAAGGTCTTTTTGGGTTCCCTTCCTAATAAAGTCCAGAGACCATGGAAGATTTCATATGATTATACCATGCGGGTTAACGTAAGCAACATAACAGGACTTACCCAGTTTATGTGAATGCACTTTGAATAAAAAAGGACGAATAATATCATATTAACAGATTGTATCTAGATGCCATATGAGACAAGGGGTAGTTATAATTTAGAAGGAGGTTTCAGATAGTACACTTTAATAGTCACTCTACTGTTTAAATTAGGCATATGTCTAAATTAGACAAAGTTGGGTTTGACTTACTTTGTCGAACAAACACTGACTACACACAACTCGTAAGGCATGAGGCACATTATTATTCCTGTTATTCTACTAGCAATGTCTACACTCTGGGTGATCTTGAAGAACAGACAAGACTTGAATGACAGTGTCCTAATGCAATTGAAAAAATAACAGAAAACTTAACTCAGCTAAGTTGGGAGAGGCAAACTACCTTCAAGCTTCATGGTACACCTCTAAAGCTCAACTTTGATACAGAAAGTTCAGTAGCAAGCATCACTGTTGTTCGTTACCCTCTGACCTACAAGAATCAGACCCAGTCTGTGACACATGGTGTTGTCAGGAGAGAAGTATCAGGGGTAATGAGAAATGAATGCGTTTTTTGACTTTCAGTACCCCGATTATTACCCTCTGCAGGGTAACCCGAAACATCAGTGTACAATGTCAAAGCATATGCACTCGATCCAGGGTTCATTGCCCCCTACAGGGGGATAAAGGGTAAGCCCAATTCGCCAGCTCCGGGTTCTTAGCTCTGAAAGGTGGGTTAGTCCATAAGGTGACTGAGTCAGCCTGAAAGACGACGAAGCGACGAAGTAGTGTCTACTTGGCCTAATTGTCAGGTCACATGGAATACTACGAATTTAAGTAGCACGTTGAAAAAACAGCAATACTAATGACAAGGACTAATATGGTGTAAGTAACAATAGTGATGCAACAGCCTGTGTGCGAGCTAGCCTTCTGAGAAGTGTTTTAATGGAGTCGTCTTTGCAAAGATTCCTACCAGCCATACTGTGTTGATATCAGGTTTTTGTTTCTCAAGGTGTTTGGAGCGTTTTTGTTATTTTCAGACACATTGTTAGGAGAATCTACAAATTTAGGGCTTTATAGAGGGATATAACGTGACTGGTGTTGTGAACACCAAGAACACTTGTACCACTAGGCTCTTGTATAACCTCATTATTGTGCCATCTCAATAAGACTTGGCATAGTGGTAATGGTTTCTCTGTATTAATTACTCTTGTGATGATTTGATCGAGGGAATCAGCCAGTAAGTGCTTGGATGGAATAGCTCTGGTGTCACAGACATGTTCGACCAGAAAATAATAATAGTCTTGGGTCATGGGATAGTCATTCTTGGCAAACGCAGTACGATGCTATCAGTGTCATGTGTGTAGTTTGACATGTATAGTTTCAGGGGCGTAGCTGATGATATTATTGAAAAAACAAGTGAAAATGCTAAAATAAATGGCAAATTAATGTGCAGATTAGGTCATTGATATGCACATATCAGTAACCGTCACTATGCACCCTTTCACAGTAGTTCCTTTTTTTCTAGCAGTTCCTTTTCTTACAGTATAACATTTTCTAACAACCAGTAAACCATAACTATTCACATGTAGTTCCTTGTTTAATGTAATCATACATGAATTCAATCCTGACCATATGGTATCAACAATATTAAAGCAGTTAAAGCGGAGGGGTAGTTAACATTAATTGTACAACTGCCTCAACAAAAATCCCAAAACACTTAATCACACATACATATTAGATATATCATGATGGTATTTATTCAAAAAACACAAATTTATAAAAAAAAATGTACATATTAAATTGGATTCAAACCTTTCTCCCACATATATTGATTTGAAATAATTTCTCTTAAATATACTATAATACTATACTGAAATACAATTTATTCGATCACTGAAGGAATGGTGAAAAGATAAGTACCACATGGTAATTGAGGAAATAATCATATTTTGGCAATCATAATCAAAACATAATTGTTGTTCTACTTCACCCTGTATTTCAGCTCATTATAATTAAATGATAGTTCAGCTTCACAGAAAGTAAAGAAATGACAATGAAACCACTGTAAAATGCTTTGAAATAGCTGCACATCATTTTAGCGAATTTTGCACGAAGCCTGAATTCACGAAATCTTAATTTAGCAAAAAGGCCACCAGTTGCATAGTAACAATATGCTTTGTTTTAAATTATCTACATCTTGAATTAACAAAATCACACTTTAGCTAAAATGACATGTTGTAGATATATACATAATGGGTTACATTTGATTATTGCCCATTTAT